CATGGAAGTTCCTTGAGTGCTACAACAATATGTTATTGGGCTCAATAAGATTCTTTAAGCCTCGACAATTTGGTCATTAAGAGAATTGAGGAAAGTCCGGAGTGGAATAAAAGGAGGCTCCAAATTGTACTGCCCAAGAAGACAGGAGATTTGATAAAAGAACTGTACGCGAACAAATTTCCATACTTTGGCTTGATGACCAACTTCGTTTTCAAGATTTTCAGCGTTACTTCACCACATGCATAACAGAATTATTCCGTTTGTTCTCATAGAATCACAACTAAGTACATCCTTTATACGTTATCGTTTATACCATAACGAATAATTTAATTCTATTAATATACTTAACCGTTTATTTACTTATAACTACTACTATAACTAACTGTCACTGCTCAATTTTACTATGGACTCTATCTTTCGCAGCTTCCCTTTATATATGCCTATTGAGGTTTCTCCAGTATTTCCCGAAAATCCAGAAAGCTCTCAATTTATTTCGAATGTTCTTATAATGTTAAGGCTTAATTGCATATGTGTAAAGCATATCGAGACCTTTTCGATAATCCGGATTATATGGTGAACAGCTTGTGATGCACAACTCACTGTATCCTCGTGTAATTCGGGACATTCTCGGACCGTCATAACGCATCATAGCGCTGAAGAAAACGTGCTTTAAGTTAAGTGGAAAAACATGTTCTTTCTACAGTATAGGAAGTCTGCAACATACTTTTTATGTATTATGGTTTGCACATGTGCTAAAAAGGCTGCAATGTTTCCGATTTTTCACTAATTCGGATCACCTAGGTTTTGATTGATCCAGGTAAGCGAAGCTTTGCTGTACTTGAGTTACAAAAATTTATACTGTAATTATTATCACTACGAGGACCGATAGTTCACATTAAATAATCATCAAATAAATATCAATTGATACACGATTGTTTCAGTCAAATACATTTTCTTTGAATTGGGTAACTTTTTATTCGACATACTTCTATTCATTGAAATAATAATAAAAAAAAGAATCAATTACTGTTTCTCTCACACTCAAGTAAATAATTTCTTGGAAGGACTTAAGGTAGATATTTATTTATTTAAATTAAGTTTTTTCTTTTTTAAAAAAATATTCTTTTCTCATTGTAAAGATATCTAAACTTTCTCATCAACTGATTTTTTTATATATCAATCTTTGTCAATTTAGATATTTCTTTATCTATAAAACCAGAATTTCTTGACATGAACTTCACTTAATAGTGGAAAACAGAATAGTGGACTAGTAATAAGTGTGAACGTGTTACTGACAAAAATGTGGGTATTTTTTGGTTCATTGTTTCTATTGACTACAGGGACGTTTTCAGTTGAAGTACGTACTGCAAGATTTTAAGCGCAAAAATGTAAAATCTTAGAAATTTTCTTAGCTTTTTTATTTAAGGTAGTCAGCCAAAATCGTTTAACTAATAACTCAATTTTGCTAATATGTGTATAAAAAACATTTTTTTTTTAATTTTC